AATATGCTATAACTTTCTTAGTTTTCAACCGATTTTGATGAAACTTAAAATGGGTGTAATTGGACCTAAATCGAAAGGTTTGAGAAAATTTAGTTTACTTCTGATTAAATCTAAGGCTTTTTCAAGATTTAGGCCTCTTACGTCAGTTTTGAGGAGTTATCGCCCTTTAACCTCTATACAGTAAGTGCTTCTATCAACATCAATAAAAACTAGAGTGTTTGTAGGAATCAAATGAAATTCGGTATGTGTATACATATTCATAAAACGAAGATCAAGTTCGAATTTGAGCTATTTTCGACCGTTAGAAGCAGAGTTATTGCCTTTGCCCCAAAATCTTGAATATTTATCATCCGCATGCCGTGGTGGGCGTATATGGCTGTTGTCCACAATCTTTGTTAATTTATTATTACATGTAGATTATTAATCAATAATAATTAATAATTATGTGCACAGTAACAAAAGAGTATTTAATTTCCACGATTACCCACTGCATGTCTTGACCGAAATTTTCAAAGCTCTTCCGTATGTAGAACTGTTTTAAAAGTAGGTCAGTATTACAAGAGAAAGGAGAAAGCTGTGTATTAGACAGATGTAATTCCAAGTGTTTGTATATAACACTAGAACTCAAAATAACAATTTATAAACACAATAGACCAACACTTGATACTTTAATTAACGTGTAATTACATTCGTCTCTATTTCATTCCTGTAGGCTTAATTTATCCCATTGTCCATTGTCAGGCCAGACTGGGAAGAAGAGTAGGACGCAAACTTTTATTTCATTAGACTCATGTTACTAAGGTGTACGGTGCGGGATTATCAATACAGTAGAAACTAGTAGAAGCGAATCGTGTGCGCACCGTGGTCTGATCTGTACCTCATGTGTTCTATTTTGTATCGATCATCCATCACCGTACACCACACCGTGCATCGTGTATTCCCACCGTAATACGTCAGTCATAGCAAAACGCTCTAATTGTACACTACATTGCGTTGTCTTCCTTTCCGAGCCTGTCTTCATTAGTCCACAAGGTGCAGAAAACTAGGACGTAAAACTTCATTCATTTCATTGCATTTCAAACTAGTGCAGAAAAGTATGACGTAATACACCATTTAATTATAATCTCAAAACGTTTAAAACTTTGCATTTCAGTTATCTCTGTTTGTTAAAATGAACCTGCACTAACATAATGATTTATTTATTTCTAATATACATTAGTTTAGTAAAGCTATCCTAAACTCGTTTCAAATAATGATATTTACTTAGTCAATTATCAAGTTCTTTTTACAGATATTTGAAAACTCGTTATTTTGTATTGTAATCAATTGAATCGTAACGACTTCACATATTGGTATTAAAACTTGTTTTGAACATGTTATCGTTTTCAAATGATGTTTTCCCATAGGAATTATTCGATTACCTCATCACTGCAGGCCATTCCACTCAGAGGATGGGCTTGCCAACTAGCGATCCACATAGCTAGTGATGTTTATTTGGTATTGAGGTTTGTCAACTCCAGAGTTCAAATAGCTAAATATGTAGGCTTGGTATTTAGGTTTGTCCACTAGGTATTCCTTTTAGAAAGTCCACATAGCTAAATATGTTAGCTTGGTATTTATGTTTGTCGACTTGACTTCCTTTTTTAGAGAGTTCACATAGCTAAAATCGTTTATTTTAGTATATTTATTACATACATATAGGCTGATGAGTTTCGCTACTATTATCACTCCGCCAAATACACCAATTCATGCTGACCATGCCGGAACACCTGCTATCAGTAAGGGTGTTTGGAGCCTCGGCATCCCTTTCGGTCACACACCTTTTACCAATAATCGATATTTACAATTTTAATGGCTTCATATCTATATTTTGTAATGGAAACAATGTCAAACAGTACAAACTGGTCGAATAAAGAAGCCCCCGGGGAGAAACTTTTGATATGATATTAAACGCTGTTTACAAACAGTGAAATATGTGCATCAATACTGCTTAAACGATCCTGTATTGCCTTGCAGTGTTTTGATAAGCATTTGTTCGGTATTGAACTATTGTACAAACCGCGTAGTTCAAAGACCTGTAAAGGGGTGAATAGACGAAGTAGGTAGTGGGATGATTAAGGTAGAAAATAGAAGAAGTTCCATAAAAATATCTTTCTGATACTGATATAAAAATATATTTCTATATTGCTCTACAATTGATGTATTGGGCACTATTTTAACAGTGGTACTTCTGTATCACTCTACAAATGATGTATTGAGCACTATTTTAACAGTGGTACTTCTGTATCACTCTACAATTGATGTATTGAGCACTATTTTAACAGTGGTACTTTTGTATCACTCTACAAATGATGTATTGAGCACTATTTTAACAGTGGTATTTCTGTATCACTCTACAAATGATGTATTGAGCATTATTTTAACAGTGGTACTTTTGTATCACTCTACAAATGATGTATTGAGCACTATTTTAACAGTGGTGCTTCTGTATCACTCTACAAATGATGTATTGAGCACTATTTTAACAGTGGTACTTCTGTATCACTCTACAATTGATGTATTGAGCACTATTTTAACAGTGGTACTTTTGTATCACTCTACAAATGATGTATTGAGCACTATTTTAACAGTGGTACTTCTGTATCACTCTACAATTGATGTATTGAGCACTATTGTAACAATGGTATTTCTATATCGCTCTACAATTGATGTATCGAGTACTGGTATTTCTATATCGCTCTACAATTGATATATTAAGCACTAATTTAACAATGGTATTTGAACACTAATTTAACAGTAGTAGGTCTGTATCGCTCTACAATTGATGTATTAACACTTTTAACAGTGAAAATATTTAGTTGTGGTAAAGCAGAAAGACATGATGAATTTGAACGTATATATCTCTTGACCTATTTAACGAAGTCAGGGCATAACTGAGATATTTCTCTAGATTTATTGTGTGTCAATAAAGACCGTTTGAAGTGATAGTAAATATATCCACAAGTCTGAAGTGTACATTTAGATACCCAACTCGATACTAAATTAGAGTCTGTTAAACCAGTATAGGTGATATAATGATTTCAGAAGTACACCAGACACCCCCTAGCATTAACAGAAAGCAAAATAAATATTATTAGGTATGTGAACTCTCTGAAAGGCATACCTAGTTCACAAACCTATTATTACAGGCTCTCTGAAAGGGATATTGAGTTGACAAACGTAAATACCAATTAAACATTAGTAGAAGGGGATACAAAATTGATAAAATATCAAAAACATGTGGATTCTCTGACACGGATGTCCAGTTGACAATCCAAAATACCCAAAACATGTGGACTTTCTGAAAGGTATGCGAAGTTAAATAATCTAAATACTAAAACATTGTTCGACTCTCTGTACAAGATGAACCTCTTCTATAGGTTCTACTTTTGAACAGTTTTGAGCTCCTGGCCTACTTGTGTCAGTTCTTACAAGTGTTCAAGTAATCTCAAACTATCAGCAAAGTATTTTCAAATAACCATCAAACGTAATATTAAACAGATCAATGACGATGCAGCGAAAGAAGGGAAGAATTGCTGACACCAAATCATAAATCATATCACGTACATCAGCGATTATTGAACCACAGACATCATCTCGTATTATTATCTAATTTATTGAAACAAAAAATCAACAGAGGGGAAATCATGGGTCGATTTGACTATAAATTATCTGTACGTATCGATGTTGATTTCAGCTGTTTAGTCAGATTCAATTGTGTAATGATCAGGTTGTTAAGGATGGGGTAGATGGAGCTACGGAAGCACATGCTCTGGGATGTTGGATTTCTATTGTCAAAAATAATATATCAAATACCTAACGTAACTATGGAGACAATCCTCGTCTTTTCTTGGACAAATTCCTTGACAATGATTTTACGAGGCCTGTACATTTGGGAGAATCAAACCCTCCCTTCCCCGAAAACGAATATTATGTTTTTAGACATATTTGGAGCGAATTATGCTGGTTGAGAGGTTTTTATGTTAGAATTTCATGGACCAACAAGTTCGGTTTTTGTTGATATGGCAAATGGTTTGTTTTTTCTACCAACGTTGTTTTTGTGGCTTTGAGACCATACAAATAAATATATTATTGCTTGTTTCCACTGCGCTCAATTTACGCTAAACCTTCAACTTGCGTGCATAAAAAAAGATATTGTTATTAAAACAAATGCCATATTTTTTTTACTTATATTCATTTTAATAGAATCTATGATATGTGTAACGATGCGTATTGTCATTGTTTTGTATGGTCTTTTGTTTTGTTTTCATTGTACAAGATATCAGTATATTTATTTCCTATTTGTGTTATGTTTTTGTTGGATATGAGGGTCGGTTGAAACGTTTTGCGAGGTTTCTTCTCATATTTTGTGTTTGATACGACTATAATTTAATGAACATTGCTTATCTTACAGGAATGGATTCAAGTCCCCCTACATCAAGTTGATAACACTCACCTATAACGTAACCTGGTAACCGCATGTAGACGGATATCGTAACCGGCTATCATAGCTGGATAACATAACGTAACCAAATGGAGACTAAAACGATAACCAGGTAAGAATTGGATAAAGTTATCCATTGTGTTTCCTCCTGAAAACGGATATCGTAACCCGACCTGATGAACTCATTATACGCAGTGTGTAACAATCTGGAAAAGGATATCTCATCTTAATCTGATGAACACATGTACTGTATCCATATAAAGTGTTCCATTGTGTAACCATCTGGAAAAGAACATCGTATCTTAATATCATTACCTAAAGAAAAATGATAAAGTAATTGAATTACTCACAATATGCTTTCTATAATTAAGCCAGTATACTGATTTGAAGTCTCTGTGTTGCCTCAATTGCGTCTTCTGTTCAAATGAATGATTTACGATCGGAAAACTTGGATTGAATGTGTACAACTAACGAGCATGTATTTATTGTTATAGCAAAGTGAATTAAAGTCATCACAATGAGTTATTTTCAAACCATCCACGTGCTTTTGATGCTTACTTTACTCGAAGTGACGTTGGTGACCGGAAAACACCCTGTCACGATTGCTGCAATATTACCGGCGGATGATAGTCGGTTGTTTTCAATTCGACGAGTCGCACCTGCTATAAGTATTGCCGTAGACAGAGTCGCAAGATCTGGCGTTCTGCGGAATCACAGATTAGAAGTTGATTATGCGAATTCCCAATGTTCCATATCGTTCGCTATGAACCAGGCTATCCGATTCCACGTTCAGAAGAACCCTAGCCTGTTCCTTGGACCCTGCTGCGATTACGCCGTGGCTCCGATCGGTCGACAGGCTCCGTTCTGGAATCTTCCCATGATAACACCAGGAGCTATGGCCAGGGATTTCGCCGTGATGAAATGGACCATGTTCTCGACACTGACTCGGATGGGAGCGGATTTTAATTCCTTAATTAGTTTCTTGGTGTCCATTCTGAGCCATTTTAATTGGAGTAAGGTCAAGCTGCTGTATGACCCCAAGGGACAAGGAAATGTAGTGGACAGATTCTGCCATATTGCTACTGATGGCTTCCATTATGGATTGAGGACACAAACAGTGATCAAAAACCTGTCTCAAGAATATTTCAAATTTGATGTGATCAGTGATATTTTGGATAATTTCGCCTCGGAAGTAGGAACAGACATTTCAGGTAAGTGTACTTCCGGTTATTTCTTTCCAACCTACACTATAGGACTACACCAACATTTGTGATTCTATGGACAGTGCTTCTGTGAGCTGGCACAGCGATTGGTGCCAACCCTATTACCAAGGCATCAAGGAACCTCGAGCAGTGCGATTCCACAAAATTTTGGGCCAAAAGCAAATAGCAAGATAACTGATAAAAGAGCATGAAATGGCAAATTAGCAACTTGTACACCAATGTCCCTCTTCAGCACATAACAATACATACGTTGGGCAAACGAACATAGAGTTTTGTGTTTCCAGATTAAAGAGAAAATCACAAACTGACCACTTTTTCATAAACTTTCATACAAATTCTCTACACCATATGAAATAATATTCAATAATTTTTACCACACTTAGACAATTTTAAAACTACTTTTTTACTTGAATACATGCATTTAACACAAGTAAATTGGTTAAATTTCCAAACGTCACGCTATCGTATTCTGCGATTATTACAGTACTTGGTTCGCAGTGAAGACCTGGCATGTTTCATGTTCATTATTTAAAAGTACATTGCCTGTCATCTTCACAATGTCAATGGCATTACGAGTTCCATCAAACACCTTGACATCATTAGGCACTTTTCTTGTATCATGTGATTTGATTAGATTGTACGCTAGTGAATACAACCGATAACAGCCCCCGATTACATGTGCAGCCACATTGTATCTATCAAGGGCTCTGATTGGCTGTATTGACTAGCGTAAAATCTAATCAAATCGCTGCATTTATAATATTACATGATTAAAGAAAAGTTCTAAATGATATCAAAGTATTAGATGGAGTTTTAGCTTGACATCTTGAGGATGATTGTCATAAATCGTGTGATATTCTTTATAATCGAAGATACACAGTTTCAAACGAAAAATCTTAATCTAATTCGACTTTTCATGCGGAATGTTCGAAACCATGTTGAGTCGAATGTCATTACGAAATCAATTATGTAATTTTTATTAGAATTATTCTAAGTGCTTTAAGTTCAAAACTTTATCTTCTGAATCTAAATGTCTAATTATTTTTCTGCTTTTTTGACTTAAACCAAATTATTGGTTGTTTGATTACGTGAGTATATAAAAAATGCCCTCAGGCGTCGTAACAAATCAAAACACAACCATACTTTAAAACGATAATAACATAAGTTGACTAGAATGCCGTCTACCAGCTGATCATTGGCCAAAACTGATCGTTACCTATTTGCTGGGGCACTTACACTTTTATCAGACTAGTACTCCGAATTCCTGACAGATGTGAAGAAAGCTCTCAAGGTACACCGCATGTGATTTGTTGAATGATAAATAATTCAGAACAGGAGATACAAAACAATTTCGTCAGATCATCGACATTAGCATGTTAGGTGGTCCACAGAAGCAAAACATTCCGATTAACAGAATAAGATTGTCTGTAGTAGATATCATTTCAGATCACTGAGTGCAGACGGTAACAATACAGAAATATTGAAACACGTCTGACATTTGCCAAGAAGATTTCAATACATGTTAAAAGTATTATTTTACTGATCCAAATATAACTTGGCATGGTACTAAATCTACTAATCTACCTAAAAAATAAACCATCTTGGTACCGATCTTCATATCTTGAAATTCTAGCACTTATTTCACGTCTGGTTGTAGACAGTTCGTAGAGTTCGTGAAATATTTAGTTGACCATAGGCATTGCAAATTACACTAAATGGTAATTGTTATTCGTGTAAAATCATTACCAAGTCTGTTATTCCAAAATCATGAAAAACGTTACCGATTACCACCAAATAAATGTTTCAGAACTCGTTAGAAAACGGTTACTGACTCCTGCGCCTCAAAGATTCACCATTGTTCTGATCATTCTGAAGGTTTGGGGCACCATGGCTTATTAGGGTACATTGTGTAATATTGTTAACATTTATCACTAACACAATAGATTTGAGTTTACATCATTTTATTGTCTTGAATGTCAAGGTGCTTTGAACTCTGAATTCTATACTACTAGAATAAATATAAATCCAAGTTTTAAAGTGCCGTTAATTAGATATTGTTTGTTTTTGTAATAACCACCTAATTTCTAACCAGACCTGATCGATAAGAAATCGGAGAAGTATTAAAGATTTTACCAAAATAAATAACTGCACAGCATGTTACCGATCAAATTTCATTGTTGAAGGTTTTCATGCTTTGATGGTTACTAATTGGCAAGATAGTTCATGTGGCGGGTTCTTTTTTTAGAGGTGATATAGGGTATATTTTTCTTTTCTGGTGGGGTTGTGGCTGTCAGTGGCTGAGGAATTGGTTTCCAGATTTTACGTTCTTCTGCAATTACTGTAGCCTTTCTTGTTACCTGCTTGTGTTTGTTTACAATATATCCAAATACTCTGAAGAACTCCTGTCACTTGGTTCAAAAAAAAGAAAAAAGTATTCCTTGGAAAAAAAATGATGTTTAACTGAGCGTCAAAAAGAGTTATTAGACTTAATTGGCATTAAAACGTTGGTAAATAGAAATTTATGAAATGTACTTAAACACATAGAACGTCAATAAAAATCCGGGTATGAATGTAGATATTATTATCATTGATGCAGAGAGTGCAATAAGCTTTATATTGTATCTATAGACAATAAAAACAAATACATGAATGCAAATTGGATGTACACGTGAGCACCAACTGCTCAATGTTGTCCTGGTGTTCGTTATTAGAATGGAATTGTTAACGGTGTTGTAGAGATTGCAACGATCTTTTAATAGTATATATCCATGTGCACTCTAGCATTCGTTTGTGCCATTCCGATTTTCCACACAATGTCTATCCAAAAATTTCTTACATTACGTTCGGCACGCAATAGACATTAGGACGCCGACCACCTTACAATTTACAATTTATTGAACTTTCGATCTAATCAAATCCATAATGTTTAAATCATATTATTGTTATTAAGTTTTAAATTACATCCAGCTGTTCAACCTAAGGGTAATAAACTAAGAAGTTATCAAAATGTGAACACTCTTTAATGAAAATAACGGGAGATGGAGTAGCTCTGAAAAATAGAAGCCTGTTCGTTTATCCGGGATACAAGGTTAGATCCTAGATCGAGTTATATCTTCGGATTCTACATACCGCTTCTCCCCGGTAGAGATACTATCAAGGGGGTTTATCAAGGAAAAGAGCGTACAATGAGGCATTGAGAAATTTTCATTTAACCCTCGTAATGAAACCAATGGTGGAACAAGGATTTTATACTATTAAATGAATGCTTGGACTAATAGTAAAGTTTATTTTACTTAACTGATAAGAAGGTTCTGTGTGCTTTGTGAAATACTATTTTCAAAAGTGAAATGGAATTGTTTCGCGTTTTATTTTTTTTCTGTGCATGATTAAGCTTATTTTGAATTAATCATTTCGCTTTTTTGCTTCGTGATTTTGCATCTTTTTATAGTCGGAAATGTACTGCGATACAAATCTAGTTAAAACAGAATTTCGAATAAAAATTATATTCCTACATTTTTCCGGAGGGCATTGAATCATGTCAAATTACTCGATAGACTTAATTTCCTCCCAAATTGCCATTCCTGTCACATCCGTTTAAAAAATCCAAAAAAATTATTTCTTAACCAAATTATGTGGCACTAGCCGGCGGCTGCAGAGTCAAAATGTTGGTCGATATGAAGCAAAGTTGGTCTTAATCTAGGGAAAGTCGCTATAAAAAAAAATCTGTTTTAAATCATTGATGATTAGATTTTGTTAGCTCCGACTTTTTTGATGCACTTACGACCTTGTTAACGTCACTTCGAACTTATAAAATCACGTAAGTGCAGATATTTTGGTGCACGTACGACTCTTTTCTTTTTTGCACGTACGACCTTTTTAAGATAACGTCGTACTTTTAAACTTCGTTAACGCAGATTTCCTTGAAGCAATTAGGACTCGGACTTGCCTTGTATTCGACAAGTTAACAATGTTCTATTGCCGTTCACATGCATCGGTCAACATTTTGAAATTAAACGAGCCTTTATTTTTGTTAAAGCATAAACTTATTTAATTTACCAGACCATGATTATGAACACTGCTTCCTGCATTTCCAATGACTGAACATATTGCAACATAAAGGAACTTGATGAAACCAAGGGATTTACGACATTCAAAGATGCAGGAATTGGAGCAGAAATTTCTCCAGGCCCTGTCTGATATATTTTATATAAAATACAATTTTTAACCAATTACGAAAAGTAATTGCCTTTTTCTATGATTTTTTAAACTATTATCAGGTCAGTCATCAAAGACACTGTGTGAAGCTTTCTTGCAAGAAACAATTTTAAATGATGCCATTTTACGCTGGATGAATAATTCCTTTACTTCTAGCTCCTTTAATGTTCACAGCTAATTTCCTCGGTCTACATCATAATTTGAAATGCTTTTTGGTTCCATTAATCTACAAGGTCGAGGCAATCAAATTGCTTCGTAAAACATTTATATTCAAACCGGTCTTTTTTTGTTAAAAAAACCTTGAGTAGTGGTGGTGCTCACAAAGTATTGCTTTAAGACAGGCAGAAAACCAAAAAGCTTTATAACGTTTGCTTTTTTTGAATGCATGGCAGATATATAACAAATTCATTTTCAAGGGAAGTAACTTGTACCAAATATTTTACACGTGTTTATATCATACATAGGTCAATGTCGTTTGGTATTTGTTAAGACATTCGTTACTGAAGAGAAAGTCGTGAAAAGAACAGGTTGGAAAGATAGAGATAGACGAGGTACGTTGTTTGGTGTGGCGTATGATGCAGGGCACCATGCCTCGTCCTACCTTGAGTTATAGAGCAGATAATTTTAATCATCAATGTTAAAGTAATAACTGGTATTTCAGCGCATCAAATATACTTGCTGTAATTTGGGTATTAAGCTTGCAATATAGATGATAAGGCAGATCGATCGTTTTGTGTTCAAGAAAAATATTTTGTTTTATATTGCAGACTTCCTGATCTTAGAATGAATTCTTTTGAGTTCAAAATAGAATATTAGAATTAGTTTCCCTCGCGATTTACCATATCTATCATATTTATCATATTTCAATAAAATTATTCAAGATTTGTGTCTGGAGGGACAGGCAAGATCTTAAGATTGATCAATACTCTCAAAATATCCGTAATGTATGACGACTTTAGGGATCAGTTTAACAGATAACATGCCCATTGTCTTCGAACATAATCGCTTTATCTTGGATATTTTGAACATATCTTACAGATAACCTGTCCAGTTTTTTTTCGAAGGGTTATGTCTGGCGATATAATACATCGTGGAATGGTCTAACAGATAAAATACTTGGTTCTCCAGCTGGACGACACCTATCAAAATAGTCTGATCTGGCAATAAAATATTAGGGTAATGTCTAACAGATAAGATGCTAATGCGTCATATCATATAGCTTTAGACTAGAGTTTCGTGGCACGCTTTACCAATAAATTTATAATTTTCTAAACCCGGCTGACATCAGCCACAATAAGCTACAAGTTCCCCTTGACAATTTTCCCTCAAAATATTTGAACATGTGTGTAAAGTTCTATATATGTCCATCCAGATAACAAATATAATACCTGAATGTTGAAACAAACAGAAAAAAAAACAAATCTGGATCCATCACAATACCCAGTAACCCTCGGGAATTGGTATTATTCCAGTCGAACGAGTACCAATCACTGATGTGTTTAAGGCTTAATGGATCACAGTTCGTAAAGCCACAGCAACATGGGCATTGCTAATATATTCGTGATCACTGCATTTATTACAAAGAGGGACGGATACAGTTCGGATAGGTTACATTAGTTGATACTCTCTAAATAGAAGATCAAGCGAGTTGACAAACCAAATCATAAAGTTAATGCAGATAATCCAACACATCAAAGCCTCGACCATCTCTACACAAATCTGGATTGAAAATAATCAGCCATTGCAATATATATCTGTGTCTCTCTGAAAGAGATACGTAATGACAAAAGAAAGGGTGAGCGTGTTGACGAACCGAGTTACAAAATGACACCAGTTGTTTACTGCTTCGAAACATCTTCAAATATCTCACCAAAACTTTTCTGGTTTGCAAATTAGCAAAAGAGAGTTTCTGTGTTCACAAACCTAGGCGGTAATTGTCAAGAGTTGTTCCCACAGGGTCAGCCATTTCTTACGTGTCCATTACCCTCCCTCCAGTTGATAATCAGCCACGACTGTCTTTTATGACTGTCGCTCTCCAGTATCTTTAAGGAGAGAATGGTCACTGATGACTGACAGAATGACCACTGTCCAACTGAATAAAGGACCTCCATTGTATTATTAATTAATTTTCTCGGCTTAATTTCCGCTTGAATCATTATTTACCAGTGTTGAATAGAGATCAATTATTAAATCTCATTCCAAAGTGACAAATGATTTTAAGTAGGTCGCATGTTAAAGCAGTACTACATCGTTTTCCGTCATGAGATTTAGTGTTTACCAAGGTTTACAAACGCCTGCTTCCATCTAATTGATATCGCAGACGTGGTTGTTGTTGATAGTCGTAGTAGTTGGTAGAAGGATAAGGATAAATTAAAAATTTGGTAGCGTTAGTATGGTAGTTGGGCTGCCTGAATTATGTACAGCTATTTTATGCTATTTGAGCTTCATTACTGTGGGGACTGTCTTAAAATTCCTTCACAGTATTTGCCCTATATCATTAACCCAAATAATTGAGATGGATGTCGAGAAGGAATGCCGCTTTCAAGAAAATGTTCCTTCATTGCACCCTGGTTGTCCGTTATCATTAGCGCAAACCCATCAAGTGCAGAAAACAGACCTAAAACGTTTAATTTTAATTTGCTCTCCATTCAAAGTAATTGTATCGAACATGTTTTACGTAATTACATAACACATGTTGCCAGTAAACTATTAAAGTAGAGATTTGTATAAACACTCAGGTCATGTCGGCGTTTATCAGCGAGTATTTTAAGATCAAAGTGGAACAGAGATAAATATCTTTACATTAGACAAACACCAAATCTATCTCTTTTAGAAAAACTAAACCAAGTGATTTTCTGTCCTGCATTCAGAGTGAAAACGTTCTGCATGTTTTGAATAGAAGCTTAGTCCTTTATTCAATTGGTTCATTATTTATTACTTATCGACTTAATAAAACAAACCTTTTTCGGCAACGAAATACTAGACCATTGTTCGAAAGGGACATAGTGGAAGACAGGCTTCTGGATCTAAACATGATGCCAATGTATGGTCTATTTTTTTTAGAATTTTGTAATAAAAATAATATTTTATTAATGTTTAATCCTATTGAAGATGTTTAAGGCCATGCAGTACGCAACGAGGGAAGCTCAATACACCAACTTAAACGAAACTGGGTAACGTCTTTGTAATACGATCGTGTTTTTCATATCTAAAACAATCTTACATATTTTTCTTCCATGTTGAATTTGACTTAAAAAAAATTTGGAGAAATTGAATTTGGAATGAAGTTTGAATTGAGTCGACACCTTTATTAAAAGACCATGAGAAAATGTGTTTATGACACTACATAAATTGACAGGTTTTGAGATTTTTTAGGAAATTTTAAATTGAATTCCATTCCATATATCCATTAGACTTGATGCAGTTTCTGTTTTCTTATAAATAAATTATGTTTTAAGAACAGATTGTCGTCAGTAAGATTATGCACCCGAAGTAAATGAACCATGATAGGTGTTAGACTTTATCATTTCGAAGAATCTTAAAGCTTTGAAGTTTTTTAGTTGCAAGAGGTGGATATTTATCAAAACACTTAGTTTTCTTTTACTAGGTCGAGGCGGATATGAATGATCTTCTCTGATTCCGCCGTCCCGTAAGAAAATAGGAAAATTACTCCCTTGCAAACTCCTTGTACAGTTGCTTAATCTTAATTTTCACATTGCTTTTTATGGTTTTTTCAGTTATTCATTCTAAAAGTATATTGGTTTTCCTAGTGGTCAAATGGTTTAAATTCAAGTGTGTATCTCACTTGTCGATATATGTCCAAACATTTTCTGAATTTGCTGTTGGGTAAACTTAACAGTCAGGACAATGTTTGATTATTCCTTCAAGTCGTATTAATATCAACCTGTTTGTATTTACAAGATGCCCGTGTGAAGTTCTATTATATTTAAGCAATTAATATTCTGGGATCGTAAATTGATATCGACGCTCTCTATGTCCCTTTGGAATACTCCCTTCAATAGAAACACTGAATTTTCTACTACCACGTTGTTAACTTTTTATTTATTATCCATGCGACTGATCATCAACAAAACGATCTCCAGCCATGCAGTTTTCTTACTTATGCAATCATATCTGCTGAATACATGTTTTTGTCATCAAATATGCAGTGTCGGTGGTGTACCATTAGACGTTTGATATAATGAATATTGATCATAAACAAATCACACAACAATACACATTAGAAAAGATTGTTAATTATAAATCATCAGAATCCATACAATGATTTTGCAAAAGATAACGTAGCACCACATACGATGTTATCTATTGAAGGAATCGTTTAACCGAGAGAGATATAAATAAATGAAACATCTTATGTTTTTGTTCAGAAAATATGACCAAAGGCACCGAATCAATCAGAATAACATCTTTTGCTCGAGAAGGTTATCAATAATTCACATCACTCTCTTGGTATCGTCAGTAATCCTCTTTTTATAACCAATAAGGTCGAGGGTTACCGATTGGTAAAATATGCCAAAATTGGTTAAGTGCCCCGTTATTAGTTGGCGAAATTCAGTGAAAACGAAAACTGGACATAGGGTGAATTCATTAAAACGGACACCCGAACGAAGGTCTGTCTTGTATTGACGAACAGTGTTTCTATCATCTAGATAGGAATAAAATTATCAGAAGCAATCTATAGAAACTAGTTTCCTGTACTCTCTAGGGGTTGGTGCACGGTGTGATATTAGCAGTAGTTTTTACTAGTTATCAAGTCGGCGGACCTTAACAGCCCCTCGGCCACTTAGTTAAAGTTTAGTATATAGTCGTCAACAGCAGTTACAGGGGTCTGCGAATCATTTTGGGAAATCTGAGGACACACTGGGGATGAATTTGCCCTTGAAGTCTTTCCCGAAACCAAATTATTAAATCTGTAGGTTTGTCCTGAGGGCTTCTTCTGCAGACATGGACATTAAGGTTGTCTCTAAATCGCTCTGCAGATGGAAACATAAAAGTGAAGGCTTATGCCACTGTCTCGTGACATTGTACGTATTCATTAACTCAATCATCAGCACAAAAATAGGACGTAAAACTCTATTTCATCTATCTTGTATGGTTAAAGCGAGATATTTGTCAAGTTACGATGTTAATATCAGACCACTGGGACATAGATAATTGGATAATATATTGTGAAGAGGTACACCAATTTCGCTATATGACTACTGCCTCTCCCTTGAGACCTCTAATTACCTTGCCCGACTAATTTCTCACCAGATTTTATGGTAACTCAAACTGATTGTCGTGGCTGAATCTCGAGATGTGGATTTGATTAGAATCTAAACGTCCTGTGGATATTTTGTTTTGGATACTGTGCAAATTATTAGCCTATCAAGAGCTTGTTGTTTCAAGTTGTATGATATGGACTGGAGGTTTAACATAGAATCTGAACGTTCTCTGGAAATTTTGTTTTGGATATTGTACGAATTATTACTCTTGATCAGTTTGTGCTATCAGAATTTCTGTTAGAATAAGTATGGCTTTGAATGGAGATTTACACCCTACTGCTATTGTATATTGGAGCTTCTGTTCTTGAATTTATTTGCTTTATTGATCTTTGCTTCCAACCACGCTATTCTGTCCTGTACCTGCAGTGACGGTACGAAATTGTTTTCAGTTTCCCTTTCAGGGAGTCCACATAGGTCGTTTGTTTATCTGGGTCAACTAAGAGGCTAAGAGTGTTTAGCAGATATCTGAAGTGCGTCCCACTTTGGTATTTTTCAAAATATT